TTGGCTTCAAATCACATTTATACCCTTCAATTTTGTGTGAGCATAAATAGACACTTAAACTTATATAAGGTTAAACAAATAGACACATGTTCTATATTGTATCCTGCATGTCATTTTTCGTTGTATGTGTATTGTGCCTCATAAGACTCATCTGTCTATTTGTTTAAACTTATATAAGTTTAAGTGTCTATTTGTGCATATCCAAAGTTGAAGGGCATAAATATGAAATGAGGCCAAGTTTAAGGACACATTTATATATTATGTCAAAATAAAAAGTATCCACGTAATATGGGATAGAGTGTAACATTTATTTTCTTGTATCCAAGCATATCCATCAATTATTTTGGATCGGAGAAATTAGTATCGAGACACAGAGAATTTTCAGTTTTCTTATGCTCCCTCTGTCCAACAATATGTGTCTACTATTCTATCGACCTTGCACCATTCTTAAAAATCTATGGATTGAAGGTAATTTTACTATATCACCCTTTGAATAAATAAATACATTATATTGAAAAATATAATAAAGAGATAATTATAATTATCAAATTCAGACCGGCTCAATGTTGAGCTTCAATGGAGTAATCGACTCCATTATTGGGAGAATGAAGATGCAATTTGTAAAAAATGAAAGTTGTATTGAATTATCTATCACAAGTGGAGTATATATATGTACATGTAATATGAAGCTAAGTCTGTAAGTGCTCCTAAAAAGCTGATAATATTCTAATCGACTAAAAACTCATATGAGCTGACTACTATACAAATTATATAATTAACCAGTCTAAGCTATAACTACTTGAATACTTCAACACCCCCCTCAAGTTGGAAGGGAGGAATGTACTGCCAACTTGTTGAGAATGCATAGATGAGAAACTCCTGTGAGGGCTTTGGTGAGAATGACTGCTAGTTGATTCACAGTGGTAACATGATGCAAGACAATGAGACCTTCCTGCAGCTTGGTCCTTACAAAATGACAGTCAACCTCGATATGTTTAGTTCATTCATGGAAAACTGTATTTCTAGCAATGTGAATAGCAGATTGACTGTCACAGAAAACATCAATGAGAGAAGGAAATGGAAAATCAAGTTCATCAAACAGTCTGCTTAGCCATACTAATTCACCCACCACTTTTCTAAGTGATCTATACTCGACCTCTATTGACGACAAGGACACATTTTCTTGCATTTTTTTATTTCCAACTCACGGGACTGTCTCCTAATCAATCAAACAGATGAGAGATCAATGGAATAATTGAATAATCGATTTTCAATCAGATATGAACTTGCAGAGGATTACTGCAAAAATCAATTAAGAAGAAGAAGAGAGAAGAAATGCAAGGATGAGACGACGAAATCGCGAAATTTAGCCGTGAGACTCTGATACCATATCAAATTCAGACCAGCTCAATGTTGAGCTTCATTGGAGTAATCGACTCCATTATTGGGAGAGTGAAACTGCAATTTGTAAAAAATGAAAACTGTATTGAATTATCTATCACAAGTGGAGTATATATATATACATTTAATATGAAGCTAAATCTGTAAGTGCTCCTAACAAGCTGATAATATTTTAACCGACTAACAACTCAGATGAGCTGACTACTATACAAATTACATAATTAATCAGTCTAAGCTATAACTACTTGAATACTTCAACAATAATCAATGATAAAAACAAATAAATAACTGATTGAATATAAAATTATCAATCAATTTTATAAAATTAACAAATATAATTAACAACTATTACTAAGCAGAAGGAATCAATGTACGACATTTCTCAAGAGAATATGATTAGGATAACTCATTTTCTCCGAAGTGGAAAAAAATTAATAATGTGAGTATGTGACAAAGTTTAGTAGAAAATTCTTGTGCATGTATTTATTCAGATAGAATATTATTTACAAATCAAAATTTGTTTCTATTACTTCAAAAGTTACATGCGTCCATCAACTAGTCGTCCATTCAAATTTACACCAAGACAAAGAAAATAAAACAAATAAAAGTAATATTCTCAGTTTTAATTTATGGGATTCATTTAAAATTTTGAAATATAAGTAAATTTATCTCTGATCATTATTCTTTAATATATTTTGAATTGTCAATTATTATAATTTATATTACTTTTTATATAATTTACAAATATATAACTTTCATTTTTAAAAAAGTAATTTTTCATGCATAAATTTTGAATCAAACTTAAATTGTTACTCTGCAAAAACAATGTGTGAGATAATTTGGTACATAAGGAGTAACTTCAATCCCACCACCAAAATCCAAATTTCAATGCCACGAAAATTGTTAAGCATATCTACTATCAAGATATTATTTACTTGATTGGTGATAAATTCGTTTCTAGGATTTCAACCCGTATAATTATATACGTCTATTTCCTTCTCACTTGCATTCGGATTATATTATCCGGTTATCCGAGTACATATTCTAGTAATTAGGATAGAAAAAATTGAAAAATTTATTTTTGAACTATCGTAAATGGTATGTAGATATCCTCTGTCATAATTTTGGAACATTAGTGTTCCTATTGTTCAAAAACTAGGAAATATATACCCTTTATAGTAACGGAGATACACATGTCATAATCTTATCCACCGACCACATTAATTAAATATCAGATCGACGAATAAGATTGCGTCACGTGTCTCTATTTAGTCGAATGAAGAGTATATGCTCTAGTTTTTGGATGACAAGAGAATCAATATCCCAAAAGTATGATGGAGAATATCACATACCATTTATGATAGTTTACGAGTGTATTTGTCCTTTTATATCATTTTCTCCAATATAGAAAAATTAAAAATGTGATCAAAAAGTTTATGTGGAAAATTCCTGTGCATGCATTCATTCAGCTTGAATATTATTTACAAGAACTTAAATTTGTTTCCATTGCTTCGAAAGTTACATAAGTACATCAACTAGTTCTCCATCCAAACTTATACCAAGACAAAAGAAAATAAAATGAAAAAAAATAATAACTTCAATTTCCACCACCAAAAGGCAAATTTATCAGCCACAAAAATTATAACACGGTTCAACTATTAAGATATTAATCACTTAAATTATGTGTGAGATGAATTCATTTCTAAGATTTTAATTTTAAAAAAAACCCTCAATATTTGAGTTGAGTGTTTGTCAAAAAGCTCATATTGTAGGTAAAAATTAAATTAAAATATTTATTATATACGAGTAAAGACAAGTGAATTTAAGATAACTTGTTACAAGTGAAAATAAAATACTAAAAGAAATTCTATCTCCATGCTAGAGTTTATGTATAAGACAAAATCTCTTGAATAAACTACAGTAAAGCTAGTCTAATTAATTCTATTAACAGATTTCAGTGTTGATCAGTGACACTTTGATTAATTATCATTATATTTTGAGGCTTAATTAAAACGGAAAGTCTATTCTTAAAAGGTAGTATTTTTTGACTAATCATAATTTCATACACATCGAGAGCAATCTTACTAAAAATCGAAACGTTTACTTTATAGCATCATGGTCCATATATTTTTACTTGATCTGATAAGCTTTTACATAAAGAGATCATATAACATTTTTGAATAAATATATATATATTATAAAAATGAAACTAAAAAGTCATATAGTTATATGACATAAAGTCCTTATGTCATGAGTAAACAATTAACTTCATCATTTGTATATATTATTATATTATACTAGGCACAATATGTGTGATCTTTTTTGTCTCACTCTTTAAATTAAATTTTGATATGATTTTTAAATATTTTAATTGTTAATTATTATAATTTATAATATTTTTTGTTCCAGTTCATGTGACACAGATATATTAACGTTATAAATTAATTGATTTTTTTTTATAATGTTTTAAATTGTCAATTCTCATGATTTGTATTTAGTTATTTTTTAATAATATTTTAAATTATCAATCATCATCATCATCATATTTATAGGTTTTTTTATATAATATATGAAAAATTTAAAAGTAAAACTAATAAGTTAAAAATGAAAAAAAAAAGAAGAGAAAATACGCATTACTATGTTGATTGTCACCTGTGTGATTAACACACTTATATGTAAGTAAGTAAGTAAATGTATATGTATAAACAAGTTGTAATAGACTTAGTCAAAACTTTGATATTTATGTATGTTATTTTTATTGTTAAATTAATTTTAATATCCCAAATAGTAACTAATAAACTACAAGATATTAGATACTTTTCCTTGATTTGAATTTCTCTTATTGAATATTTGATCTTATTATCTTAATAATTTTGATTTTTTAGTTTTACTTCGATTGATATCTTTTTGTTCATGCAATTTAATTATTTTTCTGCTTGAGTGATTTAAGTATTTTGTCTTTGCTCCACATTATTTTACACTTCAATAAAATAATGTGATAGATCTCTATTATTATTATTATCATATTTCATGTTTTTAATTCACCTCTTTTTTAGTAGTAAAAATATCTACAAAAATTTCGTCAATGTCTCATAAAAATATGCATGATATCATGTTCTTTAACTACTATTATAAATACAATTTTTGTGTAAGAATATATTATAAGTAGAATCTATTGCCTAATTCTTTTATTTATTTATATTTTCATTTCTCTTGAAATGTTCCCTCCATTATTAAATTACATATTTTTAATTAAGTAATTTATTACTCACCATATTTTATATGTCAATTAAAATGTAGGTAACTTAATAATAAAATTTCTCTTATTTTATTAAACTTAAAATGGAATTTTATATTTAAACTAAATAAAATGAATATTTTCATTTTAAAGGTAGATAAGATGAAAATTTTATTATAAAGTTAAATTAGATGAAGTGAGGATATTATGTAAATGCACGTAGACATAGAGAATTGGAAAATTTATTTTTAGGAATGATGAACTAAAACTCGGAAAGAATTCTTAAAAATAAGAATATACGTTTAAATATATTCCAATCAAATGAAATAATAAGATGAAATGAAAAGGTTTTTTTATAAACTTAATTTATTGGAGTAGCAAACTGGAGGAGCTCTTTGTTGTTCTCAAATTGAGTCACGTATGTCTCTGGTACTGCAACAATTGCCTCAATCCCGTCTCCACTGGGACTATCCATTAAAATGAAGCAGAATCCAACCCCAATTGGGGGAATTGTTACCTTGTTTGGCTTTCCCCATCCAAAATCCAAATTATTCAATGGGAAATTGCACATGCTATGACTTCTATACGTTTCAAATTCATTAGAAATCGGTAAATTTTCAGAATGAAGTGCCACTAGCTTGTTCGCGTTCACGTGGTCCTCCTTCTTGAATTCATCTTTAGCTTTCCTTAGCTCACGAACCACTCCGGCTATTGTTATTTCATCCACACTAGTTGTTTCCACTTTGATAAAACTAACCATGTTCCCTATTGCCCGTGTGGCTAGTGGCGGATCCAATATTGGACGTAAATTCACAGCTAGGGTCAACATGGATGGTTTAAACGAGTTTGCTTGAGCTCGAGCTGCTGTTACAGCGCACTTGTAAATTAGTGCAGACAGCACATCAACTCGGCTAGGATTTTGCACCTCTGCTTCTGATGTCACTTGACTTTTCAGCATCTCAAGTTTCGAATTGGAGAATCGGTACCTTTTTTTAATATTTTCAATGGGAACATTAACTATGGTATTCGTGTAAATGTCAGTGGATGGAAGGTTTGTGCAAGGCGGAAAAATAGACGATCCAGTCATTGTTGGGGAAGGTATAATATTCGCCTCACGAGCTATGGAAGCCCAATCACTAACGAAGTTAGCCATTGTGCATCCATCAGCAATTTTGTGTGATATGTGTTGACACCCAATTTTGATCCGCGTCGGTGTAAATTAATTATCGAGCTTCGTAAATTTTTAAATTATTTAAATTAATTAGTTTTATAAACCTTGCAAAAATTAAAAAAAAATATATAAGAAAAGATATATATAAAATAAAAAGTATATATAATACATGGATTTTATGCTACTTATCATAACTTTAAATAATATATATACGTTGCATAATTATGTATATAGTTTGTATATTTTATGATTATTCAAGAACCCTCTAAGAAATACACCCAAGTATTTTATTAAACTAGTTTACTCTAAATTGTAATTTATACTTTAATCACTTTTTACGATTTTAATAATTATTTTACTAAAAAAAAAACTCGTTAATTAATCGATACAAATTCATCTTTATTTAAGATGTAGCCTTTTATTAGCTAAAATGGGCCAACTCTTAAAACTAACCCAATATTCAAGTCCGTTTCAATCTTACCTACAAATTAATACCCAGGCCCACTCCACCATCAGCCCACTCTTATTCCCAGCCCAACACGTTAATAATCCAACCCAACCCATCCTACCCGACCCATCGCCCTTTCCTTTAACCCGTTTTCCTCCTTCCCCTTTCCCCTCACGCGATCCCCCCTAAACAGAGAAACCCACGATAATTCCCAGCTCTTCCTCACGCGGAAACAGACGCGCGACTCCCCCCCCCCCCCAACGAAAACCCACGCGTCCCTCTCTCCTCTTCTCTCTCCCAACGTCTCTCTGGCAGGTCGTACTTCTGTCCTTGCCATAGCGAGATGATGACACGTAGCCTGCAACGCCCAATCAATCTCCGCCTTCCACCTCCCCTTTTCCGCGATTCTTCAACTTTGGGAGAGAGATTTCGAATTTCAAAATTTGAAGTGGGCTTGAAATCCCGCCCTCGAATCGAAGCCCTAAACTCTCTTACTATATAAACCCCCACCTCTCTTCAAAATGGGGGGTTGGCAATTTGGTCGAAAAAAATTTCAGAGAAGAGGATTTTGAGTGTTAAAAAATTTGGAGGTTAGAGTTTGGGGAGTTAGAAAAGCTGGTCGGAAATTTGTTTGAGGTTGGAATTTTTGTCGAGAAAGTTTCTTGGCTGCGTTTGCTGAGAACTCCAAACAAGGTTCTGTTTTTTTTGGGAAATTTCGTGTCTAAGTCTAGGCTGGGATTTTTCAAAAAAAAAAAAAGGGAATTTTATCACAGAAAGTTGGATTTTTCTTTTGGAAAAGTTCCTTCGTTCTTCTGTTTACTTGTCGAGGGAACTTAAAAGAGAAGTTTGAGAGTAGAAAGTCTTTGCCAGGGACAAGACAGGCGCAGAGATAAACCAGGAGGACCAATAAGAGGTGGAGAGGCATATTCAGTTCTGTCGTTGGCTGCGATATTCTGTTTAGACGCCTTCGCTGTGGTTCGAGGGTGGTTTTAGTGGTGGAAGCTCGTTCGCGTGGTGGAGCAGCTCACACCTGCTCGTTCCTTTCCCTGTTCGCTGCGCTTAGAAAGGTAACGTTCTGCTTGTTTTAACGCAACTTACCATCAACATTCCTTCGTTTGTCCGTTTCTTATGCAAGCCAGTTTGTATGTGGATGTTTTAAGCATATTTGATGTGTTGTTGATCGCTCTAGCAATGATAAGTTCCTGTTATCAAAAACCTCCGTTAGTTCGGCCTACTTTTGATGTTATCGACTATTTTGTGTTGGTTTGTTTCGCCGAATCCGTTTGTTTCGTGTTTCGTTCTCTAACTCATACTGTTCCCTCGTTTCTCTTCTGTTTCAATTTTTTTTTCTTCTCGTTGCTATAAGTGTTTTGAGTTGGATTGTTAGCATTTTGGCTGGTCGTTCGTTTTGTGCTGGATCGAATATGTTAAAATAGTCGAACTCTGAGTATATATGTCCTGTCGTTTCTTTTTACATCGTTGTGTTGATTTGCACGTATTCACGTTTTCGTTTGCTTCTTCACGCTTCGCTTTCCTCCTCTTGTATCTATGCTAAGTCGGCTGTTACTTGCACTTACTCGATAGCATTTGGTATGACGAGTACGTCTTTGGAGAGGTTTCATCGACGCAGTGGCACTGTCGAGTCAAACCTATGGTATTCGCAGTTGAACATGACCCTGCTGTTTGTTTCTTTTGGAGTCTTCACCTCTGTTTGTTTCTTTTGGAGTCTTCACCTGGAATACATACTTAAGAGTTCCAGCAATTGGCAGAATGCCATGTATTTTATGTTATATACATGCGTCATATAGTTGTGCAAAAGCTATAGTTATGTATCAAGTTATTCCTTTTTATTTGAAAAGAAATGTTTCCATTAAATAATGTTTGACGTATAATAAGTGAGCACAGCTAATTAGAGAGAGTAGCTATGGGATTTATGGATAACTTCTAATAAATTTATTAATGAATAGCTATTAAATAATTAAAATTCTCACAATTTGATGCTAATTCCTCACTAAATGGGATTAGCATGATATATCCACTATTTGTATTCTAGATGAAATATATATGGCTCATATTATGCAACATAATGGTACCACTGCAAGAAATGAGGTTTATTGTGATGACCTGCAATCTTCCGCTTACGGATTAACATTATTTTGGGAGTTTGAAGCAATAGTAACCCATCAAGTCTCCTTAATATATCTATTTGTTTATTTATGTGGTTTCAATGTCCTATTTTTCTTACTTATATTATTATTATTATTATTATCTCTTTTGGTATAATTAAACAAGATATGTATGAGTTTTAATTTATTTCTTGGTGTTGAGATTTTTGTTCACTCGCACAAAATTTGGGATTCCAAAGTGTTGAGGTTATCGTAAAAGTGTCTCCCTATCGACTCAATATTATTTTGTCTTCTCTTTTAAAAATGAATTTGTGGTTTCCTTTTTGTCGAATTTCCCATATCATGTTGTTGTTTATTTAAAGGAAATGAAGTGATAATGTTTGTCTCCCTATAGTAGATCTTGAATTCATGTTAGGTAGATTATAGTAGTATGATTTTACTTTTCCATGAGATTAAAGTATTCCCTGATTTATTCGAAGAAGGAGCGTTATATGTCAATAATGTTTTTTACCAAATGTGAGGTCAGCAGTATACAAGTGAGTTGTGTTGTTTGGCATGTCGTTGATTTCTCTCTCTATTTCATGAAAATATTGTACTGATGATGTCTTAGTGCCCTATATTCATTTATATATTCATCCGTTTATTTTTCGTCCTCTCTTATGAATTATCATGGGTTTACTTATGTATCTCATTTGTTTTGTGGCATGTAAATCCACTTGAGTTCACCATGAACTCTCCTCCTTTGCATCTCGAGTGAGTCGTAAAGACTAACATGTTCCTATCCTTGAAGTCAACCCATCAAGGCATTCATACGCCAATCCCAATTCCTTGAGGATTGAAGAAGTTTAAAGAAGACGAACTAGAAGACTTGCCTTATTTATTTGTGTATTTTTATTTGAAACGGGCATGAGCCCTTGTCCTTTTTATTTCTCTCGAGATTATTTTGTATGTTTAGATTAGAACAGGTACAAAAATGGGTCAAATACCCAAAGGCAGCTGGGTCCAAGATTCGGTCAAGGCGAACAGAACCCGAAGACTTGGACCCAAATCTCTCTCTCTCTCCTTATTACTTGCTTACGTGTATTTGTTTAAAGTATCGTTAGTGTTAGAACTAGAAAACTCCAAACTCCCTTTGAAGCGTCTTTCTATTTTATCAAGTTAAAACTAAATCTTAAAAACAATAAGTATTTCAAAACTCATCAGTTTGTCTAGATAAAAATCAATAACTTCAAAAATTGCAAAAGTTAAAACAATAAATAGTCAAATAAGTTAATCGCTGGAAAACCGTATTTAACGGAGTGTCTTAGGTGCCTTCAACACCTTCCTAAGATATTAATAGGAATCCCGAACCCTTAAAAGTTTTCAAACAATTTTCTGTTTAATTATTTGAAAACAAGTTTTCTTAATTTTCTCAAAATTAAGTGGCGACTCCCAAAAAGTCGAAAATAAAACAAACTCTCTTTTCGATAAATCATTTTTTCGATAAAACAATATGCTAGTACCTATAGCTAATCCCCCGCAATTAAAATGGCTTAATTGAACAACAAGTAAATCTTCGTCCCCTAAAAGTAAACTGTTATGTATACCTTTAGCAAAAGGTAGATATTCAGGGCCAGTGTCGGGAAGCTTAGCGATTTCAGACATTGGACAGTCGTATCTAACGTTCATAAATTTGGCTCCCCTGTCATTGCAATCGACAAAAGTGTTGTCTCTGAGTGTTCCAGCAAATGGATAGTAAGAGGATAAAACTTTGGATAGTGAATTTTCAAGTATGCTGGATACTTGTTCTGGTGTTTTGGAGGGGTTAGGATAAAAGGCTGCAATTGATTGGTAGAATGGAACCATGATTTGATCATTTATAGAAAGATTATAACGCCCAAGTGATAAAGGCGTAGCACGATGAGGCTTAATAATCTTTTCAGCAAAAGATACAAGCCTTGACGCTGCTGCCATTTTTCCTTTCAGTTTGATCTGATATACTATAGGATAGGTGTGTTTGTAAACTATGCTGACATTCACTAGGCAACCAGCAATATGTGTCCATGTGTTTACTTTGATAAATAGTATTAGGAAAATTGCACACTAATAAATTAAATTTCAATGTCATAATCACACTTTGATTTAATTGTACCCTGTAACACACTGTTTGCCAGTCACCTCTAGCTGAGGAAGCGATTTCCCTCTGACACAATGACTGTTAAAAAAAAAATTGCTGCCCTAGCAGCGATTTCGTCCAAGAACATTTTCTCTCTTTTTTTTTTTTTTGGTTTAATTTAGAAGTCTATTTTTTCCATTACATCGCTGCAGAGGCAGCGTTTTTCATGTCTATTATTAACTAGATAAGTGTAGCCCGTGACATGTTACATTTCAAGGAGCTTATGTATATGCTCCAAGTTCGTAGCTGCCAAAAAATTACTAAAGAACTCTAATGTGCAGGGAATGAATGGATACAATCTTTTACTTAATGGTAAAGCTAAGTGTCATTGTGAAATGTACGATGATGAAAAGTTAAGACTCCCCAAGTCAACACCAAAAGGAATGCCAACATACATTATGACTAAGATCTGGCAACGGATCCAAACGGAATAACCGGATCGGTACGAATCGATATCGAATTGGAGCGGGACGAGTTGATCGGTATTGGAATGAATCAGATCAGAATTATCGGAACAAGTACTTGGTTTCGTCCCATCCCACTATATATCAAAATGGAATTGGAACGAATAGAAACGGACCGAAATGGAACATGATGGGATAAACGGGACGACTTATCTAGCTATTTCAAAAAATGATAATTTTTTTTTTAGTTATTTTGATTTTTTGAATTACAAAAATATGAATATCTTTTTCTAAGTTTAAATTAATAGTTTTTAAATTTATAATGTAATTTTTTACTCAAGTTTATTTTAAAAATTTATTTTTTAATTTTTTAATTTATTAAGCAAGTTAAATCTAATAAAGTTTTTCTTAAAAGAAAAAATGTTTTTGAGCTTAAGATAAGTTTTCAAGATTTGAATCTTTTAATGTTTGTAAGTTTTTAACTTGTTAATATATTATAACTTATAATGTATATTTATAACTTGTAATCCGAAATAACTTAAATATGTATTTTTAATCAATGTTGTTTGTTTTCAATATCTGAATGTGGAATCATTTTTTATAGAATTTTTTTTAGTTATGAGATAAAAATGCATAGAAACTATGATTTATTATTTGAACTTATCAAATTAGTTTGAATGTTGTCAAGACTCTCCTATAGATCTGATTCATTCATACCTTATTATACCAATTAAGAGGTTTTTTAAAAAATAAAACAAGTGAACTTAATGAGCTAAATCTAAATTATTCAGATTCAGACCTAAAAATCTAACGTACTCAATAGGTTAAATCTGAATAATTAAGATTCAGACCTCCATTAAATTTAAACAAATGAGACCTACATGTCTATTTTCGAACTGAAAAAATTCTTCTTTTTTTTTCTTCTGATTTGTGTTTTCTGTTGTTTTGTATTTTTTTTAACCTTGTTTGTCTCAATCTTTTGAGTGTAAAGGAATAATTTTTTTTAATAAGTGGGGTTGAGAAGTTTTTCAGTTTAATTATTATTTTTTCTTTCTTTTTCAAATAAGAGATAAGTAATTCTTATCTATTATCATACAATCTCTTGGGTTGGGCTGGGTCGGATCGGTCTACATGGGCTACCCACAACCCTAAACTTAAAGTCATTGACTTAAAGTTTGATTTTCTACTTTTATATCTGATTGTCTCAAACACTTGGTTAATCTACAATGTAAAAGTGTTTGCTTTTGAACATAATGTAACTTATGAACACATGTATATAGTTCAATTGGTTTGTCACCTTGTTTCTAAGTGATTTTCAATTATTTTTGTGTGTCAAATCTTAACGGTTAAAACGATTAACGATCAATAATCGATAAACCATTAATTGATAAGTCAATATCTAATGATTCTATAATAGTTTAGCATCTGTAAAAATCAATAATCAATAAGTCAAATCGATAAACTTCAAAATTGAATTGAACCAAACGATACATAGCCATATGTGTCTGCTTGTTTAAACAAGTCAAAGTGTCAACTTATACCCACTTAAAGTTGTTGGAGAGATCAAATCAAAGAGTACATTTATTCTTTTTTTTAGTTAGTCATAAAAAATATCACGTTTCTATGTTCTCAAACGTAACTTTAACATTTAAATTTAGCATAATACATATATTAGATCCTAAATTTGGCTTCAAATTTTAATTTTGACCTCTAACTTTCATAATGCACAAACAGACACTTTAACTATACAACTTTTAAATAAATAAACACATGAGTCCTACATGACACAATACACGTAGGACAATAAATGACATATAGAATGACATATAGGACGTGTGTCTATTTGTTCAACTTTATACAAGTTTAAGTGTCTATTTGTGCAAATCCAAAATTGAAAGCATAAATGTGATTTGAGTCCAAGTTAAAGAGCACATTTTTGTATTATGCCATTTAATTTTTATCTTTAAACTTTCATATTTATTTTTAAAAATTTGATTCAAATTTTATATTTATTTTTAAAAGTTATTTAATACTCCCTATGTACCTATTTAGTTGTCCACTTTAGAAATGACACAAATATTAATATAGCAATAATAAACATGGTGAAGTAATAATTTTACTCTTATTAATTATAGTTCAATAAATGATGAATTAAAACTTGAAAATTTTTCAAGAAGGTTAAATGAGGGTATAATAAGATTTTTTTTTTTTGTCTTTTCTTGATTTGTCAAAATGAAGAAGTAAATAGGGACAACTAAAAGAGGAAATATGAATAAATAAATAGGAACGGAGGGAGTATATACTTATAGTTAAAATTTGATAACTTAAAATCGCAACTTTCGAAATATTCATCACTGATTACGTAACTTTGAGCCAACAATAATAAATTAAGCGATCCACATTATGTAGGCACTTTGAAATCAATTAACATGGGGACGATTGAGATGATCAAATATTGTATTCAAAGTCAACTTTTTCGATTTCATTGCAATTCAAATTAAGAACTCATTACAGCTCATCCACATGGAAGACATAAAATAAAACAAGATTGCCAATTTATATATTTATATTATTTATTTAGAAAAAATTCTTTTGGTCAAAAAATTTGATCAGAAATTTATTTAAAAAATACGATTAAAATGATACTTTTCCTATATTAATTTATTTTTTAAAAATATTTTTATCCTTTTAAGTTTTAACTTTGACATCTTTTAATAATAAAATGAAGAAAATATCAATTTATTTTACAAGAAGAAGATTTTATAAACTTTTTAAATTTTTGACCAAATTCTCTCATCAAAAATATTTGTGTATTCGTGTTGCCTTAAATAATGGTGGTGTTGCTTTTTAAGTAAGTAATTAATAAATATTATTTTTTACTACGGAAGTAAGAATTAACTTTCCATTTTAAAAATGAAATATGGTGAAATGCATACTTAATTTTGTTGAGGGAGAGATTACTGAAAAATAGTTTAATTATTTTTGCATTGCTTGAATTTTAGTTATATATGTATGAACTTTAGATAGAAATAGCTTAAATATTCTGCTTGAAGTTAGATTTGTCAAAACTAACTTCAAATACCATATATCTAAAATTATTTGAAATGAGTAACAATGTGAAAAATATATTACAAAAACAAATATAAACAAAATAGCAGCATCCAAATCGAATATATGTTTAGTAATTTTGAAATAAATTTATTCATTAAATGTTTTGTAATATACAAAATACATGAATATAATTTGTAAATTCATTTTTGTTTTAAGTTATACGTTATGAATTTTTTTGGAAGAGGCTTTTAATTTTACGTTGCAAGATTTTTGAAAGATAAGTTTTTAAAAAAAAAATTATGAACCTATAATAAATACAATATAATTAAAGGTTTTTCTTGCAAAACTTTTGTCCTATAAAATGAGTTTGATCTTTTGGTTGAAAAGATAAGCACTCAAAAATTACTTTCGCTTGAAAACTATCATTGAGACATTAATCAAAAGGTGAAATCACCAATTCAAGATAGAAGAGCATCATCCTTGTTACTTATAGTTGAATAATATTTATACTTCTAATTGTTCGTGGGAGAAACTCCAACTATCTTCAAGAAACGTATAAACGTGCCTCTAAGCCAAGCAAGTTTTTATTTTGAATTGCGTATATTTTTATCATTCTTGTTCAGTTGTCCTAACAATTTGAAGATAGTTGTCTTTATGACATCCACATCTATAACAAACAGTGTTTCATCTTTGCCTAATCCTAATTTTGAAATATTTGATGGCAAAGACATTTCTAGATGGCGTGAAAAGATGAAATTCTTTTTAGGACGATTAAAATTGAGATATGTTCTTGACAAACCTTGTCTTGATGCTACTGGAATTGAGGTAACAACGGACGAGGCTACTCTAATAAAACAACAAATTGTCAAATGCAAGATGGTGATTACTTATGCAATAAATGTTATGATCTATATCATGAACCACTCTCACATGGTGTGGTGTAATACACTTGCCGTCACATCAGCGCTACGTCAGCGCCATGTCAGAAATTATAATTTTTTCTAATTTTTTTGTTTTTCTTTTCTTTATTACTTATGTTTCTTTTGTTAACAATATTTTACACAATTGATCTCTAATTAGTTATTTTCTCTAGCACAAAATCTCACCCACTCCATCTCTTTTCTCACGAAAAAAATCATATCAGACTACCTTATTCATTATTGATTCTTTGTTCTTCACCACCGGCATATCACCTTCAATTTTTCTTCTTCTTCGTCATCCACCACTAATATCACCATCACCATTTTCAGTATATTTTTTTCTTCTTCGTCATCTTCAATTTCCACTTCTTTCTTTTTTTAAAATCGTTACCTAATGCCATCACACTCATAAAGTTGTTATCTTCACCAAATTCAAAATTAATTAATCTTCTTCATCACCTTCAATTTCCTCTTCCTTTTTTTTGTACTCATTACCTAGAACCACCATACCCATAAAGTTGCAATTACAATCAAACTCAAAAATCCAAAAATAGAAAAGATAGAAACAATCAACCAAAATCACCTAAAGACAACTTAAGAATTTATTTATTTAGGTTCCAAAATTCTTTTTAGATTCTTCCTCTCGTAAAAACTATCACAAAATACAATTAATCACTAGCAAATCTATTAGAATTAACCTAATTGCTAATTAAAAAGAAAAACTGTGTTTTGAGATTATGATGTATAAAGAATGAAGAAGAAGAGATGTGAAAAAGAAAAATAGGTGTGAAGAAGAGGAAGTTTGAAGAAGAGGTTGGGGATAAGGGCGGGGGTGGGGGGGTTAAGAACTGAGTCTAATTATTATTTTTATTTCTATTTCTACATGAAGCGTTTAGTTTTTACATTTTTTTGGTTTCTTTGCCACGTTAGTTTCAAGGGGTAAAAAAATCACGTTTGAATAGTAAAGGTGTGTAATAGGTCATTATGATAGTTTAAGTGTGTAAGTGATTTTCGATACAAGTTCTAAGTGAAATTTATGTTTTTTCCTTAATTAATTAAGGTTAGATAAATAAAGACATAATACATAAATATGTTTTTTAACTTGACCTCAAATCACATTTATGTCTTCCAACTTTAGATATGCACAGGTAGACATTTAAACTTGTATAAAGTTGAACGAATAGATACACATGTCGTACATGACATTTTTTTGTCTTACGTAGTGTCCTACATGTGTTGTGTCATGTAGGACTCATGTGCTACTTGTTCAAGTTTATACAAGTTTAAGTGTATATTTGTGCATACCAAAGTTGAAGGACATAAATATGAAATGAAACCAAGTTAAATGACACATTATTGTATAGCCATAAATAAACTATAAATTAAACACATGACCTACATGTATTGGGTTATTTATGTATTCTTTAATTAATTAAAGTATAGTTTACATAAATCTCATAGTGTTAAAGAGTTAATTGTATTATTTTCCTACTGTTTTATAAATTCCAAATATCTCTTAAAATTAATGAATTTCGAATACAAATTAATAGACTTCCTAATACATCACTAGACTTCCAGATACATCAGTAGACATCCAGATACATATGTGAAAGACATATCAGAGAGGGGAGACATGTATCAGACAATGTATAGGACATCTGGGTACATCAATAGACATCCATATAAGTGAGAGATGTATCAAAGAGGAGAGAGATGTATCCGAAAGGGCGATAGAGATGTATTAGTGAGAAAGAGTGATATATCCAAGAGGGAATTTCCAAATTTTTTAAAATGATAGTAAATTTTAGAGATTTATGATAAAAAAAAAAGATGTCCTTTTAGATAATTTTTCCTTAATTTTGTTAATGAGGGATATGTTTCAAGACATTTTATTTTGTATGATGTTTTAATGATTTTTCTTTATCTTGTATTTTGTATGAATATGTAAATTTACCGTTTCTATTAGTTCAATCAACTAACTGTTAATTGAACGCGTTATTGATATATTATAACCTCACTTGCTAGTTCAATTAAAGATTTATTAGTAATTGGAGAAGCAATTTATTATTCTCAAATTGATAATGCAATTATTGGTACTCGACTAACTACTAATCGAACGCTTTATTGATAAGCATAGAAAAAACTAGAGATTCGTAACTGGAGAAGCAAAGTGGAGAAGCTCTTTGCTATTCTCAAATTGAGTCGCATCTTTTTCTGGTAATGCAATAATTACCTCAATTCCATCTCCACTTAGATTATCCATAAACATGCAGGTGTTTGCAACTCCAAATACAGGAATTGCTACCCTGTTTGGTTTTCCCCATCCAAAATCCAAATTATTCAATGGGTAATTGCAAACACTGCTACTTCTGTACAAGTCAATCGAATGTATCCACTCACTCCATAGCGAAACTAGCTTCTCCTTCTTCACACCCCCTTCCTGCTTCAATTCGTCTTTACCTTTCCTAATCTCGCGAACCACTCTCCCGATTGTCATTTCATCCTCACTCGTTGTTTCCACTTTGATAAAACTAATAATATTCCCTACTGTCCGTGTTTCTAGCGGTGGATTCAGTATCGGACGTAAATTCACCGGCAGTGACAACGAGGATGGTCTAAACGAGCTCGAGTTTGCTGTTACAGCACACTTGTAAATTAGTGCGGACAGCACTTCAATTCGAGTTGGATTTTGCACCCCTGTTTCTGATTCCACTTGGGTTTTCAGCATCTCAAGTTTCGCGTTGGAAAACAAGTACCTTTTTTTACAAACGGGTAGATTGTAAAACTCATAATCAACGTTAGTATCCGTGTGAATGCGCATTTCAGTGAATGGCGGAAAAATGGACGATCCAATCAATTGAGGGGAAGGTATATTCGCGTTGTCATCACGAGCTACGGAAGCCCAATCACTAATGAAATTGGCGAGCGTGCATCCATCAGCAATTTTATGGGATAGCCTAGCACTTATACCTAATCCTCCGCAATTAAAATGGCTTAATTGAACAACTAGTAAACTTTGTTCCTCTGGAGTTGAACTCCAAGGCGTACCTTTAGCAAAAGGTAGATATTCAGGGCCAGTATCCGGAAGATTGACTATTTCAGACATTGGACAATCGTATCGAACCTGTATAGATTTAGCTCCCCTGTCATTGCAATCGACAAAAGTAGCGTTATCTGATCCGAGTGTTCCAGCAAATGGATAGTAAGAGGATAAAACTTTGGATAGTGAATCTTCAAGTATGTTGGATACTTGTTCTGGTGTTTTAGAGGGGTTAGGATAAAAGGCTACAATTGGCATGTAGACTGGAACCATGATTTCATCCATTAGACAAAGATTGTAACGCTTAACTGAAAAAGGGGTAGGAGAATGAGGCTTAATAATCTTTTCAGCCATAGATACAAAACTTGATGCTGTCATCTTTCCTTTGAGTTTGGTGTAGATGGGAACCTATGGTAAAATTCAATACTTATTATAGTAGGCGGGGACAACGACCCGTATTATGTCATATAGAATACATGTGTTTATATAAAATTTAAATATCTACATGTATATATTCAATTTAGAGAGCATAGATGCTAACTTATTTAATAGTGTATTTTGAAGGTATATATTTATCCACGTGGACACGTTACTATTTATAATGATACAATATCTATGATATACACGTGGGCACAATATATTTTTCAAGTATACTATTAAATAGTATAAAGATAAAAAAATCCTTTCAAAAATTCGGTATTGTTACAATAATTTCAATCAAAATACGAAATTCGAATATATTTTAAACTTTTTTTCCTAATTTTGAGATTTCTCAAATCATTTTCATGGCTGAAAATAACTCACAACCACAAGAAAAAAGGAAGAAAATTTGCAGACAAGAAGATGAAGTTTACAATTAAACAATTGTTATTTTGGGAAAATTTGTTAAAATTGGTGCACTAGGAAATCTGTAAATATGTTAAGACTTCTTAATTGATACTCCATTCATTTCATTGGACGTAACATTTTTGAGATTTTGAGATTCAAATAAATTGATTTTCTATTGTAAATTTTTTTATGTGAATTTAGAGAGTATAGATGCTACCTTAATTTTAAAAAATTCTTGAGTTGAAATTTAAATTGTAGTTATAAAAATCTAAATAACAATATATTCAAATTGTGGGATCAATAAGGATAAAAAAGGAATTGTTCCTTTAAATATTTACCGTATAAGGATATGTGACTTCTTTTTGAGATTGACCAAAAGAAAATGGTGTCACATAGAATGAAACGAAGGGGGTACTATATAAAATCAATATGAATCCTGGTAATTAGGATAAAAATTAGTATGATTTATGTAGTTTGCTCTTAAAATTATTGAATTTAAGTGGTCAAATTTAGTGGTTAAAGTTCAAACCGTTTTCAAGTCCATTTGAGCTCATATTAACTTGGATAGGTGAGGACCTAACCCTATTTCTGTTTCAACCATTTATCACATATCTAAATTTCATAGTGTAAAGAGTAAATTAAATTATATCCTTTTTTTTTTAATTACAATAATCCCTTAAAATTTGTATTTTCAAATACATAAGTTACCATTCGGATACATTAGTTCACCATCTGGATACATTAATTCTAACACAAGAAGAATATTTTTGTTGCACTAAAAAGGAATAAAATCTAAAAATTAATTAAATCCCATAAATTACGCTTACATTTCTTCTTATTCTCAATCATATGAAAATCCTAATAGAATGAAGAAATTCAATGTTTCAAATTGTCCCCCGTTCAACGAAGAAACATTTCAGATTTAATTTTTAAAAAATTATCAAAATTTTGGGTTAGCGAAGTGAGTTATGAAGGATACAAAAGTGATAAAATTTTTGTTGGACAAATGATATCCTTTTGAATCTTCGAGATCATCGAATATACTTTCAATTTTGATTCAAGATTGTCAAAAAAAATTGAGATTTAAGATTCTTTCTTCTCCAAATACATCGAAGATCTTTTCAATTTTGATTCAAAATTGCTGAAAATTTTGAGATTTAAAATTTTTCTCCTACTTTATTGAAGTTCTTTGAGAAAATACATCATGAATATCTTGTTACTTAGCATTTTACTATTCATGTTTCTTGTTTAAATTGAAAAGTAATGTATTTATACTAGATATATTAACAAAGTAATTGTTATCCATAAGATATTAGATTTGAGATCGATACATACAGTGTGGTAGTTGAATTGATATATTTAATATAAATTTGAATTTATGTATCATATCTAAAAAAATAAAGGGAGCTTTCACATATAGCCACTTAAAAATAGCCTAATTACTCTTCATAACTATAGTTTGATAATTATAATTTGTAGTTAGATGTTATATGGTGGAGAGAGTCGAGTGAGACTACGAGAGAAGAAGAGAGGTGAGAGAGAGAAAAGAGTGGGAGAAAGGTGAATTGTATATGTATATTGGTTAGATAATTGAATATCACAAATGTATTTGCATATATGGCAAGTGAGTTTGGGAGGGGGAGGAGAGAGACGAGCGAGGTTGGGAGAGGAAGGATAGTTAAAGTGTCTATTATGCACTATGAATGTTGGAGATCACAGTTAAAATTTGAATCCAAGTTTAAAGTCCAATATATGTATTATGTCATTAAATAATGATAACAATATTTAATTGTAAATTTAATGAAATCATAAACTCAAAATAATCATAACAATATTATGGCTTTGCTTACCCTTTTGGGATTTGCTTTACTCATTTTGTTATTAAAACGATTACACACATCTAATTCAAAATTAATAGAATATGGATTTCAATTCTTTTTTATTGTCGGATATATATATTTCAATTTTTTAACCTTCGGATACACGTATCAAAAAGTTGAAATCTGTTAGAGGTCTTTATTAATATTTAATTACTCTTTTAATTAAGGCTTAAGTTATCGCTAGCCCCTTAAAGTTATTCGCATAATTCACTTAAACAGTTCAACTAGGACTTGTACCTATTAAACACATATACTTTCTCAAATTTGAACCATCTGAACATTTTTTGTCTACATGGTACATTGTTTGTGATTCACCCCAAGTAGGCGCGTGAAAGGTCTTTAGCTAGACATTTTTTGGGAAAAAATATTTCATTTCTTCTTCCTTCCCTCTTTGTCGATTACTTCCTCCACCACACAAGTTCAATTGGTTCAAATTTGAAGGGGTAGAGGTGTTAAATAGATACAAGTCTTTGTTAAGATGTCTAAGTGAATTATGTGAACAACTTTAAAGGGACGTTGATGACTTAAGCCTTTAATTAAGGATATCATTCACACACATTTAATTCAAAAAAAAATAAACATATGTATCTCAATTTTTTAACAAATACATGTATGTGGAGCGAGTCATGATACATGTATCCAAAGACTAAATATGGTATAAGAAGTAATGTTCTAAATCAACATGAATTCTAGCAATTAGGACCTAAACTTGTATAAGTTGTTTTTTTTTTTAATTTTCGTCGATAATATAATTTGACATTGTTATTAATTTTCACTATAAGAAATACACAAAATTAAAATGATAAGATGAAAATTTTAATTTAAAAAATACAACACATAATATGATAATTTAATACAAGATAACTATACAATATATAACATAATAATTTAAATACAAGATAAATACAACACATAACATAATAATTAATTTGCGATGAAACAAGAATCATGCCGAAAAAATGAGTTTTGCAATCACGTTTTGCAATTTTTCTAGGACCGTCACGTTTTTTGGAGAAAGAAAGTGATACATGATATAATGACTACATGCATTATATTTCACAACATGATAATTGAGGATCAACGTGATCTTAGTACACCAACTCAAGTTGTTGTAGCGGCTCCAACTCGAACGATGGAAATGGTGGTAGATGAAAATCTCCGATTTAAATAACTCTAGTTAGACATAAAAAAATTAAGAACAAAGATGCTCATTTTGAATGCCGTAATGCATTAATAGAACATTTGTAGGAACAACTTAATAATTTCAGAAATTGAATATTTATATAATGGTTATGTTATTATATTTCACTTTTATTTGTGTAATGGTTATGTAATTGTATTTCACTTTTATTTGAATCCGTTTATTAATTTATATATTTTATATAAAATTTTTTACAATTTATTTTATTTAAAATTTAAAATAAAATATAATTTTATATTAAATAAAAACTACACAATAAAATTTTGAATCAAATAAAAAATAATAAAATAATTATTGAAAAAAAAGAAATAAAAAATTTATTAGTGTGGAATAAGAAAATAAGATAGAATAGAAATAATAATATAATATTAAAAGATAAAAAAATATTTTTTTAGAAAGTAAAATATAAAATTAATTACTTAAAAAATTAAAAAAAATTCCAAAAATTTAAAGAGTAAAATAGTGTCGAATTAAAGATGTCTAACCAAAAGTCATATGAGTTCAACAAATTTATTGTCCGACAATAATTGGATAAGCAAAACCACGTGAAGCTTTGACGTGGATAATACTCAACCGTTAAAAAAATTGATTAGAATTTGATTTGAATTTTAAAATTTCATAATATATTTTTATTTTAAATAAATAATTTTTTATTTTTTACTAAAAATTATTAAAACTAAAAAAAACAAAAATATTTAAAAATATAAAACAACATAATAATATATCATTTTAACCAGTTTTCTAGCCACAAACATTTTTCACGTGTTATTTTCTCTCGTGACTGGCGGCCGCCTGCCTAACGTTGTTTAACAAATTTATTTTTTGACAATAACAGGGCTTCATGTGCAATTATTTGTCAAAACTGAACTTCAATTATAATATAAATTAAGTATATGAAAAAAAATTTATCCGTACAGTTATTTATAATAAATTAATATAATTTCTAATAATTTGTGATTTAATGCAATAAAATAAATAATAAATTTTAACATATAATATGCATATATTAATTTATTATAAACATTCAATGTGAATAAAAATAAATATATACAATATAAAATTGCGAACATCTAAATCAAATGTACTTTTAGTCATACTCTTCCCTTAGTTATGGTTGAGAATAAGTATGAGATGATAAATAGTATGGTTATGTGATAGAGAGGGTCTACGCGATTGAATTAGTTTGAACTTTTTTAATATTCATTCCCGAGTCGATAATTGCCAGAGGATGGAACCCAGTAATGGCACATCAGCTTACCGATTCAAATTATTTGTGTTAAATTTTTAAATTTCTAAATATTGGATTTTTTGTTTTGAATTTGTTTGCTAAAGTGTTTATCCAAATATATAATTAAATTGTTCTCTAAATATTTCTTTAGTCTAACAAAAATATAACTATCTAAGATGTTTCTTAAGAAAAATAACACAAAATATGAGATGAATAATGACACTAAAATATTCAATAAAAAAAATAATAATGAATC